AGGGGATGCTCTCTTATCTCAGCTTCACATCTCTAACTTTTCTCTTGGTTTCACACAGGCACAAGTTCTGCACAAGTCCTACAGCAAAGCCCCATATCCATCACAAAGCCAGAAAGCAAAACGGTGCTAATCAACTGCCACGTCTCCGACCCTGTCTCCGACCCTGATTTCATCCACTGGTACCGAAAGAGGCGCAACGCAGCTCCCAAGCGCATCGCCTACATGTCCTCCAGGCTATTCCTTGAAAACAAGTCCAATGAGGGGAAATTCAGTACTGAGAAGGACCTCGCCAAATCTGTCTGCACCCTGACAGTGAGCAAAGTAACTCGGCAAGACTCCGGCAACTACTACTGTGCTAGGTGGGATGCACAGCAGCAGAAAGCCACAGGGGGCCTGCGCAAAGATGTGCTCTGCTGTCTGAACCAGATCGTGACCTCTGTGACAACACGCAGGACCATCCCCACCCTGCTTTCCCCATCAGCCCCAACTCAGACACACTGGACAGGCAGCCAGATCCCCAAGATGCTGCTGAGCTAGGGCAGACACCGGCCACAGCCAGCACCAGCAGAGCTCTTATTGCTCTTTACCAACAAAAAGGACATTTTCATAGGTCTGGCTGGATTGCCTCTGGGTGAGTTCACAGGATGGCAGGGTGGGCTAGTTAAAAGAAAAAAAAGTAATCTTTCTGTTCTCACTACCCTTCAAGATATATCTTTGGAATAAATCCCCAGTTACATCATTTGTGTGGCAAAATTGAAGGATGTAGGTGAAAATAAACATGAAGCACCGCTCAGGACTGCTGGTACGATACAACCATTTTGTACCTCTCTGCTGGTAGAGAATCTTGGTTTAGTTTCTCTTTGTTTTCCACCTGGAGCTGATCAAACCTTCATTTAGGTTCAAACACAAGTCTCTGGATTGACTTCAGTGGGGCTTCTCATCCAACATGGCAGCAAACCTGCAAAACAGAGCACGGCAGATATTTGTACTTCCATTTTGGAAATGGAAAGACATTAATTTAAGTGGTTTCACCCCTTTTCTGTTTACAGCCAAACAACTGATAGATAAAATCACAGCACAACTGTGTTCAGGTCCCAAAGGACCCAGTATGTACCGGTCTCCAGTACAGAGTCTCCAGAGCCCATTGAGCACTGGGGTATCGGTCGCATTTCACAGAAGAGTGAAAGTTCAAATTGCTGTCACAACCACATGACAGCAGTTACTGGATCTATGTGACAATCCTTGAAAAAAGGAAAAAAAAACCTGTCTGACCTAAGCAAAATAACACTAAAACAATGGAGAAATGAGAATTAGTTTCATTTCCTTTACAAAGGAACCAGCAGCAACCCTGACTCTGAAGAATGACTTTCAACAGCACAGAATAAATTCTTTATTTTGCTTGCCCTAATCATCTTTATTTTAAACTAAGCCTGTGGGGGCTGTAAAGCACTTGTGTGTCTTTGTATAACACCCAGCATTTGGAGATACCAGCCTGGGGTGCAGCATCTCACCTTACCCGTGACAAGAAGCAGTGACAAGTGCAGCAATGCTGCTTCTGAGCTCCCAAATGGCTTCTGAGTATTTTCCTGGCCTTTAGCATTCAACCTGTGCAATGGGCAGTAATTTGAGAGTCTTCAAATTCATTAAACTCCACGTTCTTATTTTTTTCTCCCTTTTATTGGAAGTGGGCCTGAGGAAAAGTGTCTGACTCCAGGCATTGTTTAGCAGCCTTCAACTGGTCTAAAAGCAGTGGTGAAACGTGCTTCAGACTCCAAAATTACTTTATAAATGACTTCAAGTAATTTTGAGTGTGCAAGAGAATGAGAAGGTGAGTTTCTGCCGCTCATGTAAAAGCTATAATTGGGCTGTTCACATTTAGCAGAGCTCAGCCATGCTCCTTTATCTCAACATCACCCACCTGCTGCCAGGGCAGCCTCTCCGGATGATGCCCACGTCAGTCATTTCCTTTGCTCAGCCGCAGCCCTCCATCCCCACTGGGAGAGCTCTTGCCTTCCTCCTGGAGGCAGACATCGCCAAGAGCCCCCAGGATGCTGCTGCTCCTGCTCCTGGTCCTGGCTGGAGCCTGGTCTTGTAGGTTCCCCTTGTCACCACGGCATGGCGCGGGGCAGCAGCAGGAGGAACCCCGTATTTAGGAGTGGGAATGAATAGCAGGATAAGAGTGTTTGTTTTTTTTCCTCTCCTTCTTTCTAGGTGGACAAGCACAAGTGCTTCTGAAGCAGAGTCAAGCATCTGTGACCAGAGGCCAAGCCAGAACTGCGTGGATGGAGTGTATAGTGGAGGGCATACCCAACTTCCAGTCTGCAAATATCCACTGGTACTGGCAGATACCCTCCAAAGGTCCCCAGCGGATTCTGTATATCGGAGATTCAGTTTCTTACGATGACAGTTCCTATAGGAACAAGTATTCTTCTTCAAAGAAAGACCCAAACATCTGCACTTTCTCAGTCAAAGACATCGACTCCAGTGATGCAGGTACCTACTACTGTGCCTACTGGCAGTCCCACAGAACTGGCAGACCACAGGCAGCCCGTACAGAAAGCTGCCTGTACCCTGAGCCACAGGCTCGCTGCCAAACGCAGAGAACCACCACTGCACCTTCCTGCATCTAAAACGTCCCGACGGGTTTATGCTGAATACGGAAATAGAAATAATGGATGGAGAGAACAGCGAAGAAATGCAGCGTGCTGCAACTCAGCTGTGCTGCGGAAAAGGAGCGCTCCCATGGGTGATGGCAACGGCACCCGAATTATATAGCAACACGCGTCATCTTCACTGAATATAGCTACTTCCCCAAATAGAGTCTGAGCTAGCAGAAATTAAGCAAATGGCAGGGAGGGAGCATAGGAGAAGGATATTTGCACTCAAGATCTAGCCTGGGAGACTTCAAATCCAGGTCATGACAGAGATACTGGTGATATGCATCACTGTCACTCCCATCTTCATGGTTATGCTGGTGAGGACTGCTTATAACACCAACAACCCTTAGGACCCCTTGTTGTAGGCAAGCTGGGCAGCTGCCGAAAAGACAGCCCTGGGAAAGGGTTGTGAAGACTGCGTACAAGGGAAAGCTGGAGACTAAGGCAGGGAATATATGGAAATGGTGACCCAGCACTGCTCAGCTCAGCTTTGGGGTGTCAGAGGAGAGGAGAACATCCTTGGGAAGGCACAGATTGAACAGCTTTCGTTTTCATGTGTGAGCTCAGCAGGTAAGTCTGAGACCAATGCAGCAGACAGACAGATGAAGAAATACTATTTTAGACAGAGTAGCTTAGGTCCTTTCTACACTGTTACTGCTGTGGTTTAGCTTGTCAGTAAATGTAACCGCTGCCAGGCAGTGAGTTGAAGAACTACCATTGGATGTGCCAAATGAATCATTTCCTCCTCCCAGTTGTTTGACGCTTTCTCCACCTGAAGGGCCTCATAACGTTCCTGGCTCTGTTTATCTCATTTCCAGGTTTAACCTGCACGGGCAGCATGTTCCTGCTTACAGTCCTTCTGGCATCTTCGCTGTGGTCCCGTAAGCCCTTTTTCCTCTCTCCTCTCCTTCCCGTGCACAGAGAACACAGTCCTGGCTGCAAAATCCAGCAGTTTCCTCCCCTCACACAATTTCTCCACTTCCCCTTGTAGGTGGAGACGGGCAGGCAGTGCCGGTGCAAACCCCGGAGATGCTGATCCAGGTGAAGGGCAGCTCTGCCAGCATGACATGCCGACTGGGGGACGAAACCGTTGTGCACTGGTACAGGCAGCTTCCCAGAGAGCAGCCGAAGAGGGTCCTGTACGTGTCGGGACAGTCACCTATTTTTGATGACAACAACGACAGAAGGAGGTTTCAAACTCGGAAGCACCCTAGTGAGCCCCTCTACAGTCTCACGATAGATTACTTAACGCCCAGGGATTCTGGCACTTACTACTGTGCGTATTGGCCTTACCGACGCGGCGTCACAGCGTTAGATGGGCCAAGATGAGCCGTACAAAAAGGTGTTTGGCACTCTGAACCACAACCTCTGAACTCTGACAAAAATGCAGATGCTTCCTTGTTCCACCCCCTCTCTCATCATTTTCTGCAGCTGAATAGGAAAAACAACTTGTCACGACAGCGGTTAAATAAATGATGTTAACAATCAGTATGTCATTTGGGTGCTCACACATACCTGTACCATCCAGAAACTGGGTGGTCCCAGTCACTTTAGGGTAAATATATGGAACTGTTGGCAGCAGCCCTCACCGGCCTCACTGTTGTTTTCTGCTCCTCCTTTCCAAGAAGTGTTTTCATCTCATCTGAGCCTCGAAACCGAAATCTTGTGGCCGTGCATTTCCTCCCGCACTCGAAACCAAAGTGCAGGCACATCCCTGCGGTGCAGCTACCCTGGTCACTGCAGGCTGAGGGTCTCCAGCTGCTTCAGTGGAGGGGAGCACCCTGGGCACTTTGGTGTGCTGCAGCAGGTGACTAAGCTGAAGCAGCAAAAGAAGGTCCTTAACGGGATGGGGGAATGCCATCTGTACACCTCCCTGCACCCCTCCAGGTGACAGCACACACTCACTGCCCACCAAGGTGACCTCCAGGCTGAGACCTTTACGCCCTGATACACAGCTGGAGCTGCTCTTGCTCACAACCCTTTCTCAGTGGCTTTGACTTGAGTTTTCGAGGGCCACAATCCCAGGATTTACCAATGTTTCTCATATTTACCTGAAGAGCAGACTGGACTACAGCCTCTAACCACTTTTAGCATTTGCCAGCTTGGAGCAGGTTTTCTGCAAATGTGCCACATCTGCTTGTGCACACAAGACCCGTGGCTGAAGATCGCTCAAGAGAGTCACCTCCTCCTCCCATACAGCACTGTCTCCGTCTGGGGTCCCTTTCACTCTCCTCTGACTTTCAACTACAGCAGAGTGTGACAAGCAAACATGCTGCTGCTGGCAGCACTCATGGCCACAGCTTCTTGGTCTTGTAAGTCCTTCCTTATCTTCTTGCCCTTCCTCACAGGTACCTATGGCTGCACTAACAGGCATCTTCCCAAATTCCTGAATTCCAACTAACAATGTAATTTCTCCTTTTCTCTTTCCTAGCTGGATACGCACAAGAAATTCCTGTGCAGACCCCTATATCCATTACCAAGTTCCAAAAGAGTGCACGGATGACCTGTGAAATTGAAGGATTAGGGGCAAATTTTGGTGGTACCATCATACACTGGTATCAACAGAAGGAGGGTAAAGCTCCAGAGAGGGTCCTGTTCTTTTCAGAAGGGAAAACTTCAGTTGAGAGTGGCTTTCAAGAAAACAGGTACATAGTTGAAAAAGTTGCTGCCCGGAATCGGTGTGTTCTTACAATAAAAGATGTAATTCCAGATGACGCTGCTACTTACTACTGCGCCTACTGGGACCCTCACTGTGATAGAAACTCAAAGATCATCAAGGCAAAAAAAAAAGTTCCCTCAACGTCTGAACCACACGATTCTAACTGTGCCACTCCTCTGATCTTCTCATTCCATCTGGTACGAGCTGCAGAAAGGCCAAGCCTTTATCTGCTGCCCAAAAAAGAGCAGCTAACCCTGCACAACTGCCCTTTTCAAAGTCTGGGTCATCATTATCACTGTGGGCTTCAAACACACATCTAGTATTTTAAGGGCAAAGGAAGTCTTCACTGCCTTAAGACTTAGCACATAAACACTGGAATCTCACCTGCTCCTTTGGTGCCATTTGCCCAGCCGTGGCAGAAGTCTGGTGGCCCTTGAGGGGAGCAAGCATTGCTTTGATTTTCTAGTCCAGCCACTGTTCTCCCCTGGGAAAGAGAATTCAGTAAAAGACAACATGCTGAAGAAAGTACCTTGGTGGTGGGAACAATATTCTTGCCTAGCACTTCTAAGAAAAGTTCCCCACTATAGTCTTCTTTGCTCTACATCTAAGCAACTGTAAGTCCCTGGAAATATTATTTACCTAATTTGGATAACACAAAAAAATTCCACACAGACCAATTCAAATCAGAGATTTACAATCTCTTATCTACCACAGCTGATGATGTGCTGCTTATAACCATCCTCTTCTTTCATTTTATGTTAAGGCAAAGAAGATAAACTGGGGTTTTGGGGAAGGAAGGAGATTGCTGAAACTTAGCAGGTTTGAGGGACTTATTTCAAATTTGCAGTGGGTTAGTATATGTCCCTGGGCACAGCAAGTGTTTCACCGAAGAGCCCGAGAGGAATAATTTTTGCTTGTGCCTTTAGCCCAGTATGTGCCTACTTATCAGCTTTTCTTTTCCTGATGAGGGGTGTTAATTGGATACCTGAAATGCTGAACCATCACACATAATGAGCTACGGGACTTTAGAAAGATCAGGCTAGGTGCAAACAAACACCAAACACCAGCAAACTCAAGTCTTGAAAGTCTTAAACACAAAGTCAAATTAAGCATGCAAGTGCTCACTGATCTCATTGAATCCTGTTGGCACCTTCAGGGCTAGTCAGTGGTTTGATGCACAACTCAGACAGAAATTGGTACTTACACACTCTGTCTTTATTCATAGGATCTCACGGCAGTTTTCCACAAAGTTTCCTCTTAGTTCAGTGAATCATCCTTACTTTTCATTGTTTTCTGCCTTCCACGTGCAGTGGCTTCCACAGCCCATCACTACTGCACTTGCAGTGCTTCAGTCAGCGTTGGTGTTTTCCTCAGGGACCCTTCCCTTGTGGTCCTGTCATGGTGTCAGAAAGCTTCCTGAAGCGGACCTTATCTTCATTGGAGCGTGTAGCATCACTATGCCCATTTTATGATAGTAAAAATGATGTGGACCATTAAGAGATCCATCTCCAGTGGTTTCACCACCTCTAACACACTCCAGGTGTCTTGCAGGGGACCAGCACTTCCCAAGCTTCACAACAGCCATCCGTGGTCTATCCACAGAGCAAAGTCCCATGCAGGAGAGTGTCTCCCTTATCTTTCCTTTCCCTTTCCCTCTGCTCCCCACAGAAGCTCAGGGGACACGTTCCTCTGGCTTGACGCACAGTGTCACCAGCTGACACCTAAGGGAGTCCCTTCCTCCTCCTCCTGTGTGGCATTGCTCACTCTGCACCAGGGCCCATTTCCTTCTCCTCCGACTCTCAACGACAGCAGAGCGTGATAAGCAAACATGCTGCTGGCAGCGCTCATGGCCGCAGTCGCTTGGTCTTGTAAGTAATTTCTTACTTTCTTACCTTTCCTCACAGGCACCCATGGCTGTGCTAACAGTCATCTTCCCAAATCCATGAATTCCAGATAATGATGTCATTTCTTCCTTCTGTTTTTTTCCTAGCTGGGTACGCACAAGTTATTCCTGTGCAGAGCCCTCTGTCCGTCACCAAGTCTAAAGGAAGTGTACACCTGGAATGTCACTTTAAAGACTTCTCTGGAGATTTTGACAGCACCCTCATCCACTGGTATCAACAGAAAGCAAATCAAGCTCCAAAGAGGATGGCCTATTTTTCAGGGTCAAAAATAGTAGATGACGGCTTCCAAGCAAACAGGTATAGGATTGTAAAGGAATCCAGAGAGAAACTGTGTACACTTACAATAAGTGATGTCATTCCAGATGACACTGCTACCTACTACTGTGCGTACTGGCATAGACACTGTGGTAGAAACTCGGAGATCACCTAGACAAATACTCCCTCAGTGTCTCAACCACAAACCATCTGAAAGAATCCAACTCACATCACCTGGTGTGGATGAGCTGCCTGGCCTCGCACGCAGACTCTGGAGAAGCAGAACACACTCAGTGCTGACTGATGCCTTGGACGTATCAGCTGCCAAAAGCTAGAGATTTTGGCTAAGCAAGTGCAAAGGAATGGTGAAAGTCCAATACCCAACCCATCCTCTTCATTCCAGCTTCTCATCCTTTTTGCTAAACATGTCCATGAACTGGTTGCAAGGATTTATTTAATGGAAAGGGGGCATATTTCCGTGTTGTTGTTGCTGGAAATAGGTCAGCACATTGTACTGGAGCTCATCAAGGCCTTTGGCCTGACAAAGAAAACTGAAATAAAGAACTCTAGCCTGAATATTTGTAAAATTTTAAGCAAAGCAAAGGGAGTGTTATTTTCACATAAAAGTTAATAGCTGTTGGAGGAGTAAGATTTTCTATTTATTCCTCTTGAAATCTGGAAGTAGGAAATTTTTTTGGAGCTGTATCAACCCCTTTCTCCCTCCTGCTTGCTTATGAATATCTGCGTTTCACTACTGCTCAACATAGTGTTGATGTATCTGAATTACCAAAAAAGTTGAAAACCAAAAGCTTGTACAAAAGGAAAGAGCTTTCTATATTTAAGATCAACTTTCCACACTTAAGCAATGCATCCTTCCTAGCTACTGCCTCAAAGTGCATGCTGACCCTCATGCCTGAGAAATTCATTGACAGAGGTTTTTCTCTACCATCAAGCCTCTCCATAATGTTTTCCTTTACCTGGTACCCTGGTACCCTCCTCACTATGTTCATTGAACGGTAACTCCTTAAAGAATATTAGTCTGATGGGATGGAAAAAATGACACAACAATTTCAAATATGTGTTAGGTCTCCAAATGGCTACAGGTCGGTTTTGTCCTCCTCATACTTGCAAGCCCAGATCACACAGAGGACGTAGACAAGCTCTCTGCAACATGCACTGATTCACTTTGTTTCTTCTAATGAGACCTCCCAGCTTCTCACAATCGTGACCATAATCCAACAGTCCCAGGAAATGCAGGTGACACGGTGGTGGCTCCCTTTGCCATGTGTCTCAGGACACAGCAGGAAAAGCACCGGTCGGCACCATTCTCTGTCTGCATCACTCCTGCCATCGCTTTGTGGTTGCGAACACGACGTTCCTGCCCTGAGCTTTCAGAGCAGAGGATTGCTTTTGTTACACCTACTTCAACTGAAAGACCTTTATCCTCAGTCCTTTTCCTCCCTCTAGCCACAAATTGTAATTTCTTAACGTTATTTTGCAGTCGGTACGCCACACAAGAACCCAGAAGCACTCAAACTCTGTTGCTTTTAGATGGCAGATGAAGCCTGGAGGCTGTTTGATCGACAATGGCAGTGACTCCTCTGATGTTATCTTGGGCTGTTTTATAAGAAACCTCTGGGCAAAGGAAAAGCCTCCTTCTCCCACCAGCTAGTACGTGAAAAGCTGCCGGTGAGCTGCTGTTGCAGAGCCTGGACTGATGCCAGGTGATGGGCAGACAATTACCACGTACCGGAGGCAAAAAATGTAACCTGCATCACACAGAGGTCTTCATAATGGTTATGGTGTTGGCTCTCCCTCCTTTCCCTCTGCTGAATTGTGTTAAGACAACAAAAAAGGAAGTCCATGCTAGTAGTACTTGACGTCACTTAACTGCAGGTGAGAGGGAGCGTACCCCTTTGGGAAAGGGCAGGATCTCACCTGAAGGTGTGTGGGTTTCAACGTGCACAGCCCTGCACATCTAACAAATTTGCAACACTTTAGGAAAAAGGTTTGCTCTGAAGGGCGTTAGATATCAGGTGCAAGTCTGAAATTCCTGATATCCTCCCAGGAGCTTCACTCAGTCTCCTGGGACTGATTGGGAAAAAAAATGACATTTTCTTCAGCAATGGCATAGCAAGAGAGCACGTCGGCTTACTGTACAGTCAAAACATAGTGTGGACCACCTGGATCAAGTACTTTGGCACGGGAACCAAGCTCATTGTCTCTAGTGAGTACCATTATTATTGATCTGATTTTCACAAAGTCATTCAGGTTCTCAGATAATTAAGAATGAAAACCTGTAGGAAAATTAATTTCTGCCTGATAAATCATGTTTTGTCATGAGTTGATGAGCAATAAATGTATTGACCTCATGAATAGAGAGATTGCCTCTAGAACAATTACCAAATACTTATTAAGGATGGGGGAAGGAGAAATTAGGAAAGATAAGAATTTAAATATTGGGATTGATTCATTCCTGTTCTGGGAAAGAAAAGTGAACTACTCTCAGAACAGCAAGTGAGAATTGCAAAAACTTTCTTATCGATAGAGGGGGTTCAGTCTAAGTTGATTGGGAAGGAAAATTGCCTAGAAACTAACAAATTTCTAGTCACTGAACCCTACTGAAATAACTGTTTTACTTTTGCATTTGTATTATTCTTAATTGTGGTGAAGCTATGCAATCAACAGGATGAATGCTGTTTTCAGTATAAAGCATATAGCAATGCCTACAGTATGTTGCTCAGAAAATACTGGACATGATCAAGGTGACTATAATTAAGTCAAACTGTAAAAAGCAGAGGAGAGTTACAGAGAAATTTAAAATGTTATCCATGTGTCTGACCAAAAATGTTCTCTGCTGCCATTTGCAGTTAAACTGTGCCTGTGCAGAGGCAGCTGTTTTTGCCAAAGATGACAGCGTAACCACTTACCAAAGGCACGACCTTAGTTATGGGCATCAGTAAGTTTGGTTTAGTTTGTGGACTTTGCATATAAAATATGGGCTTCAAAATATGAGTTTGATGAAAATCTAGTTAAGGTGCTTTCACACAATAAGAAATTTGCCAGATAGGACACTTGGGAAAAAAAATTCCTTACCTGTATATTTGAATCAATAACTATTAAGCTTTCTTAATCTCCTTTGGGAATAATAATGTATCCACATTTCTTCTTAAAATAGCAAAAAGAGGTTACTTCAGAGAAAACCTAGCAAATCAGGGGCAGCAGATCTTCATTAGAGAAATCCCAGAATTAATGGATTAGAATATACTTATAAAATAAGCATGGCACTGCTTTCTTCTCAGAAAATGCTGGGTTTAAAAACCTGAACTTTTACCCACTACAAAAATCAAAGTATTTCTAAAAATGGCACTCTAGTCAATGCTGAAAATTCAGCTATTGCACTGGGCCAGATTCATCACCAAGCTCTAAATCAGAAAGATGTTTTCTGTAGCCTACGCAAGAAAAGTGCTGTGCAGGAGATATTGCTAAGCATTCTCAGACTGTGGGATGCTGATGTCAAAATATTTGGCAGTGGAACGAAACTCATTGTTTCAAGTAAGTACAAAATGTAAAACACAACTGCTTCTGAAGTGCTTTTCTGTGCAGTTAGGTTCTGGCTGTGGGAAGTGCTCTGTTATTTTAGCTCCAGATAGTTTTAACCCTACTGAATGCTTTGCAGGTTTTCCCTCTTAAACAGCGTTTCCCTATGCAGAACACAACATAACTGTTTTGTGTTTATATATGACATGCGGGAAACACAACAGCTGTTGCAGCACAGATGTGTAACTCTTTTTTTTTTTTTTTTAATGAGTTCAAATATGACAAAGATAGCATTCAGAGAACTGGAAGACATTTTTTTCTTTAAATATTCAACATTTGTGATATTTCTAACTTATTCTGGAAGAAAGTGTCAAACTTTTGAGTCGCTCAAATTCTTTGAAAAGCAAACTGTTTTTCCCTTAGGACTGTCTGACTATAGCAAATGAAAGGAGTTATTGGGAGATGTGCTTACAACTGTCTGAAGATGCGCATAGTTGAACGGCTGCTCTCTCTTCCTAGCTTTTGCAGAAACTGCTTATTATCAGTTATTACTATTATTAAGGAAGAGTGTGAAACTCAAAATGTTTTGACATACTTATCAAAATTATTTTGCTCCAGGTAAACTACAGGTGCTTTGATACTTGCCTGTGAAACAGTTTCCTTAATTCTGGCCATCTGAAAATGGTGTAGCTGGTTAGCGGGAGGTCTGATTCTAGTCCATGCAGGGTTTTGCTTCATGTTACCTGCAACAGAAATATTGGTCAGGGGTCTTGTGCTGCTCAGATCTCAGCATAATGTTCACCAATTCTAGGTCTGATTTTATGGGGGTGTATAACGAGCAAATATCTTGGCCAACATTTGATCAAATAGATCCTCTGCTGGTGCTGCCTCTCTCCAGAAAGCAGAGACAGAGCCAAGGTGCTCAATCTGCACCATCCGTCTCAACTTTCAGAAGACTAAAATTAGTTGAGATTAATCCTGCCCATTTAACAACATCCATGCCCTCAAAAACCTCCACACCTTTTTTTTTTTGTTTTTTTGTTTTGTTTTGTTTTTTAGTCTAGTTTAGGCAACTTCTCCTTTTTTACTTTTCTGGATTCTAAAAATTGGTTATATAGCAAATCTGTTTTTCTTAAAGAATACTATTGACCCATATAAAGATAACAGAGCTGCACTGTTATTGCAAAGACTTTATTCACTGTGAGGGGTTACTACAACAAGATTTTTGGCTCCGGTACAAAACTCATTGTGTCAGGTAAGTTACATGCTATTTTCCATACAATAAGCTATAGGAGTTTGGGGTGGTCATAGAGATGAGTCTTGTAGTGTCCCAGAGGGCACCCAGCCTGCTTAGAGCCTCAGCCAGAACCATCCTTGCACAGGGTTCCCCTCTCCAGCTTGTCATTCTGACAGTGAGCCTTGTATTTGTAATGCAGTGGTTTAGGATAATAAACATTTCCGAAAAGGAGCTATTTTGAGCCACTTTAGATCATACTCTTCCTTGGAAATGTGGTGGAAAATGGCCTGTAGTAGTTTCCAGAGCCCTTGTTCTTTCCTCCAGCTGTACTAAAGGAATAAGCAGGGAATCATGCAGCTGCGAATTACACATAAAAATAGAAAACCTCTTCCCAATACAGATACAAAGAGCAGTGTGCAATGGCCATTGCCAAAATCATTTTTTAATTAGGCTACTAAAAGTGAAATAAGTTGTCTGTAATTATTTTTGTCATGTACACAGCACTTTGGCAGTAGAAATAAATTAGTACCTCCAAATGCTCTTCACACATAGGAAGAAGTGATCAATTTTTTTGCCTTTCTTGCTGAGACATTTATTTCAATGGAAAGTGGGGGACAGAATTCTTTTTCCCATTAAATGTGCTTTAAACTCTGTAATCCTAAACAACTACACAACCACAAGGTAGAGGAACTATTGCTACCAACAGTTTTAAGCCTGGTTAAATACATAACTTATATTAGCACATCAAGCAAAGATTTTTTTAACTATTTGTGTCAGAAAGACTAAGTAAATCATAGCTATAATTTAACAGAAATATCTATGTCAGAATTCTAACTGTGTTGTTTCTAGTGAAAATCCTTACCTTGTTAATCGGGTAGTTGCATACTTTTAGTCTCTACAGTTTAAAGTAGATTATTTTCAAGTATCCCTCTAATCCTGTAGGATTTGGACTTTATGTGGCCAGGGCTTCTGGACAATTAATAGAGTTAATTAATCATTAACTCATCACAGCTTGTCTTTTCAGAGGTGACTATCCAACATTAGCTCAGTAAGCGACTCCTAACAGAAAGAACTGGAGAAAGCCAGAATTTAGGATAGGTGAGCCTAATTCAATTAAATTGTCAGGGTTTGAGCTTGAGCAGAATCTTTTCCTAGATCTGTACTGAAAGAGTCAAATATATAAAGAGCCAAGCACCCATCAACTTGTAATGAACTTAATTTTTTTCTTGTTGGTCTCTTTTTTAATCAGTTCTGACCGAAAAAAAGTTGCTTGAGACTGACAATAATGCGGGTAACAAAAGGGCTGGGATATGAGAGACTGGTTTGGCATCTGCATTTGGTGGAAGAGATGAGGTTTTAGAAGCTAACAGCAGAATGGGAATATTAATCCAATATAAACTAGCAATACAGGATTCTTCTGTAAGTATCTTTCCAGGGAATTTAGGCACTCACAAGGTTGCAACAGGGAAGCCAAGATTGAGCCAAAAAGACGGACCCAGCCTCTCCAAATTTAGGTTTTTCCTTCAGCACAGAAGCAGAGTGGTTTGCTCAGCCAGCGTGGGGCTGGTTTCTCTCTTCCATCTCTTCTGCTACAGCTGCAGCTGGGTCTCCTTGGCAACTCGCAAGCATGTTGCTAACTTATTTTTAAGTGATAACAAGGACAATATCTACTAACATTTCTAGGAAATAATTTCATAGCAGAAATTATGGCAGCAATATTTTATTTCTTTAAACACTGTCTCCTAAATATTACTGTCTACCTTGTTTTCATCAAATGCATTGAAGTTCAGCATTCAAAAACTACAATTATTTTTTGTAATTATATATTATAAAATATACATTGTCTAAAGATAGATTATACTTAGACTTATTTATACATTACCTGAAGTTGGATTAAACTTTCTGCCCTTTTAAATCAAAATGGTGAAGATTAGATTATTCATTAGTTTGCATTATTTTATTTTTTTTTAATGGGGAAAAACACGAAACCCTGAATTGGGGCTTTGAGCAACCTGGTCTAGTGGAGGGTGTCCCTGCCCATGGCAGGGGGGGTGGAACTTGATGATCTTTAAGGTCCTTTCCAACCCAAACCATTCTATGATTCTATGAAAACCCAGTAGACCCGAAAGTCCAAACGACTGTTAGGGCAGGAGGATGGAGCTGTAAGACATAAATAAGGGAAGATGTGGCCACTTGAAAGAAATGTGTGGAGTGAAAGCCTCTTACCATTATTAACATTAATAGAAACATTTGCTAATGGCTTTAAAATACCAAGGACTTCATGGGCATGAAGATGAATTCAGTACCTGATTCTTCTAAGGCAATGTTCACAAGCAGGTTTCAGTGTGAACATTCCCCTGTTCATAAGGGTCTCTGTTATCCTGAAGCCATGGCCTGACAAGTTCAGCTTGAATTGGTGATTGCATGCTGCACTAGGTTCTTGTTGTAGGCTATATGTTCATGCACAGATGTACATATATATAAAAATATATAAATGCATAGATTCCTATGTTGTCAAGGTGATAACCTTTACTGTTACTCACATTTTCTGTACAAACTTCAGGGCATGCTGAAGAAGTCTCAGTCTAGAAAATTACAGATCACAAGTGCGTGGGATCTGCTTCAATATTTCTGTGATCTTGAATGCCCACTGTTAAATTAGGGCTCCATCCTCCATTTTGTCAGCATTCCAAATCCTTAGTTTTTGTGTACATGCAAGCTTATTTTTTTAAACCTGAAAGATAAACATAAGTGAAATCTGTTGTATGAGCAACCACAGGTTCATCCATCTGCCATTTTGTAAGGAAATTTTTAATTTTAGAATTCAGAGTGTCAAAAGAAACAGGTGCTTTTCTAACAAAAAAAAAAAAAAATAGGCTGCAAAAACATTGAGACCTTGATGTGGTTTTTTTCAAAGCACCTGTATGTAGTGAGCAATTTGGTCTTTGGAACTGGCACAAAGCTTGTTTCTGATAAGCTTTTTAGTATTTAAGAAGATATGCCTTATTCTGTTAAACCAAAATCTAGAGGTGAGGGAATGCTATATGCAATTTAAAAATTATAATACAGATTTAAAACTATAATACAGAGGTGCTTAATGCCTTCTTTGCCTCA